GTTATGTTAAACTTATATTAAAGTTTTTCTTCATTACCCATTCAAGCCGTCTCCAGCCATTACTTCTGTCGATTAGTCTTCAAGTTGTATGAGTCAACTCCCTGGAGGGCGAAGTAATATCCAACGGTGTGGCAGGCTTCGTTTAGTAGGTCTCCAGACGTAACAATATCCTTTCTGCTGAGACGGGATCGGATGTACATGACACAGGCTGTGATGCATTTGGCGAGGTTCGTAGGTCAGGTAAGATCTAGCAGTGTCTGCGTAAGTCCTAAAGCAGCTGATTCCTGGTTTGGGTTTGTTGGCTGCTGGTCAGGCGGCAGGCTGGCTGGGCTTCGATGGACGAGTGGGTTGGTCCATTGTTTTTTTGGGCTACTCTGAATACCTATTGGTATTTGGGCCACCCACGGTAGGAGGCGGCGTGCAGTCTTCTGCAGTTGGCGCATGTGGCTTCATGTCCCTGTCTTGGACATTTAGCTACCGTATGTTGATCACCATACCGAATACACTTCACTCTGGACGTGCACACGGAACCTGTGTGGCCGAACTTCAGGCAGTGATAACATTTTAGAAGGGTTGATTGTCTGGGTCTTGCTGGCTCAACTGGGTGATGGATATACCCCAGGTTGGCACCTTTATTGATAAGGCTGGTTGTGTGGTTTTCGTCAGATAGGCTGACTCATACTTGGGGGGTAGGGGTCTTGGCTGGTGCTTACAGATTTTATCCTTTCAGCTTTGGTGGCTGAGATGTCTTGGTAGTTTAGTTTTTGGAGTATTTCTTCTGTAGTTATGTCCAGTGGGATGCTTCTAATAACGATAGCGTGCGAGGCTTGTGGCTAGTGGCCTCCAGGGTCGTTTAGTTTGGCATTCTGGAATGCTGAGGAGTCCCATGGTTTAAGGAGCTTCGCATATTCTGCAGGGGTGTTAGTTTTAATTAAAACTTCTCCTTTGGCTAATCTTCGGAAGTTCTTGAAGCAAAGTGACAGAGTTGTAGCAGAGTCAAACTGTTTAAAAGATTAAGCATGTAGGTTCTGTTTTTAATGTATAAGGGAGCATGCGTTCCTACTAGTGGTTGAAAAATATTCTCGTGATAAATGGAGATTAGTTCGGTGTGGTAACTATAACCAGAGACTATTGATGAATAATTAACAAATTGTATTTGCACTCTTCCACTTCTTAATAAAACACATAAATATGAGCAACATATTGCAATGTATCCTCCAATTTCTATACATTACACTGAAGTAGTAAATATAAATAATCAGTGTATGTGTTACTGAATGTGCATGGGAGAAATTTCTTTATTTCTCTTAGACAGCAAGCACCTGTTTTCAACCGCCTGTTCAATAATAGCCACCCCTAATCTAATCTATCTAAAAGCCAGTGTGTGTGACATTACACTTGATTTCTCCTGATTTCTCGAAATAGGTTTGTTTTGTTTCGAATTTTGCGCAAAGCTATCTACGCTAGCCATCCCTAATTTAGCAGTGTAAGACTAGAGGGAAGGCAGCCTAGTCAGCACCACCTACCGCCAACTCTTGGGTTACTCTTTTACCAACGAATAGTGGGATTGACCGTCACATTATTATGCCCCTACGGCTGAAAGGGCGAGCATGTTTGGTGGGACGGGACTCGAACCCGCGACCCTCAGATTGCGAGTCGAGGCCCTAACCACCTGGCCATGCCGGGTCTGATTGATTTGAATTTCTTCCAAAATAACGTGGGATCCCGGTTGGAATTTACAGAATGTTTCCCAATTGTCATCTTGCTGTTTTCAAATGAGTCTTATGATGGGGTAGTTTTATCATTAATAAATGGTTTAAAAGCGGGATAACGAGAACTGATAAAATCTTGTCTAAGTTGTCTTCTGCTTAGAATTAATTGGTTAATATCGGGTGTAATTTTCAATGCTTTGATATTATGGTTACGTGCTTTGGTAGGGATAGTCTCATTAATTGCTTCAGTTATTGCCTTAGTAATGTCGTTAGCATACTTATATATTCCTGTGTGGTTCGAGGCAGTGTGTCTTAATTCAGGTAAGCGTTTAATAATGTTTTCATTAAGGGATATCCAATCTGTGTGAGAGTAATCGTACATTAGTGTTCGCTGACGGGGAATGATACTACGATCTGGGTACGTGGTGAAAGAGATAGGGTTATGGTCTCCGACAGGGTTGTTATGTACTTGAATGTTACGTGTGTGATTAACTAATGTTGTGGAACGATAGAATGTCCTGAGAGCCCTCGTGTTGCTTTGCACGAAATTCAAAACAAACCAATACAACATTGTCCTTTAAACGGTGTTTGTTTCCTTAACTGGCACTTTCAGTTACTTTTACTGAAAAGTTGATCCATTATATGTGAGTGTATTAGTATCTCTCACCTAATTTTATGGCTCGACTACCAAAATTGTTTATGGTAATTATTTTGTGTTAGGATATTTCACTGAGAAT